TCCACGCATACGCAGGACGCATACAGTGCCTGCGCGATCGTCTAGGAGCAGCTGGAGCATCACGCAGATGCTAGTACGCATGCGTGCACTGCGCGCGTGCACGAGGACGCCGCCGGCCCTGTTCCAACCGAACCGGTTGGAACGGGGCGAGAAACCCACCCCTGAACAGGATTCATACTTTGGTGTCACCTGCAGCTTTGAAGTTGGGGAAAAGTCTGATTCCTTGGCATTCTTAGTAAAGAGCAGAATTCCACTTACAAATAAATAATCAAATCAACTCGTTCCAGTTTCTGAACTTTAAACAAGTGCTGTTTGGGAAACTAAGATTAATGATGACTGAGAGGTAGCTTTTTAAACTTGAAAGCTGAGGTTTTTAGGACATGAAACTCAGAAGCTGATTCCAGTTTCTATTCTTGCTACTATATAAAACTATCCCTCCATTGCTGCATGCCCCAAATAAATCATAAATAATGGACTTTGAAGATTTACAAGACAAGATTAACAATTCAATAGTCATATATTAACAAGCCCTGTAATGTGTGTGGGCAGCCAGAAAATGTATTATTTTTACCCATTCTCAGCTACAAAATCCCATTTTGCTTTAGGGATAGGAACATCTGCAGTGACTGGACTGGGTCAAATGTTTTAATGTTGTGGTTTCAAAGCACAAAAATAATTGTGCTTAACCTCACAGATTACATGATGACCATTAGACTATAGGGCTTTTTTAAAGGCTTATATATCAAGAGTTGTTACCTACTTGCAACTCTATCATGTTCAGAGGTGAATAACAGAGGCAAAGGACATGCAAAGAGTATGGCTTATTCCTCAGATGTGGCATGTATAAACTTCCCACAATAATTGGCTGGTCACTGATGAAAAAAGGATACTAGCTCTAAGGATGAATGCTTGTTCTAAGACAGCAAAACTCTTTATGGGGAACTCTACAATTCAGACTCTGTGCATATAAATAAAAGCAGCTGTGACCGCTCACAGGAAAAGAGGAAAGAAGGCAAGAGACTTTCTAATTCCAAAACAGCTGTAATTCAAACAACGTTGCTTGAAACTGTCCATCCCCACAGGAAATTCCATTCTGGAGACCTTCTTGTCATCCAAGAAGTGTAAAACAGGAATTTTCCTTAAAAAGGAAGTTATAAATTTTATTTTATTCAACTGTGCGACAACGTATAAAACCACTGAGAAAGTTTAGCACATGATTCAAGATGGTATCCCCATATTTCTATTCATCTATACTGGGGGTGATACTTTAGAATGTGTAACAAAATGTTTTTAGGGAGAGTTCTCTCCTTAAGGGTGCAGATCCTCCACCTGTTTCTTGCCTGCCCAGGCACCGACTTCTGGTTTGTACTGTGCAAAATCCTATTGAGATGTTTCTACCCCCAAGGCCTTTAGAACCTCTGCACACCTATGAACTCTCTAACATCTCTTGAATATTTTTGAGGCGCATAAGCAATGGCATTCAACAGTCCAAACATTTCAAATGAAAGAAATAACTCTCTTGCATAAGAAACCAAGAATGTACACTTTTTTTTGAAAAAAACATACTACTCCAGAGACTCAACTACAATAAATATTTAAGAAAGACTCCTGCAAACCTATGACAAAGGGCAGGGAAGCTGTTTGGGGCATAATATGGAATAGAATTATTTACATTTTACCCTTCTGATTTATAAGAGAGTAGATAATACAAACATGTACAATTTTTTCAGTGTGTACATAGCTGATATGTTAATTATCTCAGGGAAATAATAAATTCCATCCTTATTGCCAGATGTAAAAGAAGTTCTCAAAAGCTTTTCCTATATTCCATAAATTCATAGCTCCAAGAACTTCTTGACCAAAAATGTAATTTGGATTTATACAAAGCTTACGTTGGTTTCAAAAGAAGAGAATGGAAGAAAATGTACACTAGTTTATTTGTTCAGTAGAGCAAGCTCATTTCCCAGATTTTTTTAAAAAATGAAGAAACCTACATGTTCAGCTGCCACCCTCAGACATTGTCCAGTTTGGAACTGGGGAGAGGGAAAAGCCACATCTGGAGCCCTAAAGCAACCATCTTTTCTCCTCTCTAGCTTTGTCTACCCTGCACGTTTTAAGCAATCCAAGGTCAGAACCTTGGGTGAAGAAAGGAAAGGTTATACATATATTAATATTATATATTAAATTTGTTTGCCACCCATCTCACCACAAGGTGACTCTGGCTTACAACATTAAAATGAAACCATAAATGTATAAAATCACATCGAAACGACAATTAAATACAAACTATAACTAAAGATGGGGAAGAAGAGAGAATATACAGGGAGTGAGATGGAGACTGCTATTAGTTGATCAACCACCTTGAGTGTGAAATTCCCCCATCAAGGCCCCAAGCCAACTGGCAGAGCCAGGTTTCCACGCTCTTATGGAAAATCAGGAGGGTGGGTGCTCCAAAGGGCGGGGCCACAGCAGAGAAGGCTTTGATTGAGGGGATCCACAGCATATATCATAAAGAAGCTATGTTCAGACAAGTTTCCCATCAGTGTACTGGGGTTGGCAACTGAAATCAGATGGGTCATTGGTTCATGCCTTTACCATTTCTGTTTTCATTGAAATATGAAAAAATTCCCACTTTCATTAAAAAAGAGTTTCATAAGACCCTTACAGCTGATTTAGCCTTTATATCAAGATGTGGTAGCCGTTAAATAGTAATTGTTGCACAGTTTTTTTTTATTAAGCTATGAATACACTGACAGTATAACCAATTATGTTGTATATATGATGTACAATGACAATAAAGGTTGTACTATACTAGTAGATACAATAAAGCACTTGCCATGCTTTCTTCAATGTACCCATGCTTAGGTTCCATTCATACATATTGACTAGAATCTAGGACAGCATTTCTCAACCTTGGCAATTTTAAGACATGTGGACTTCAACCTCCAGAATTCTCCAGCCAGCACTCATCTGGTACCAAAATTATTCCAGAATCCAGAACAAAACTGAATCTATATCAAAACTGACAATATTGTTCTTACAAAGTTAAATATACCCTCACCTTGCATTTAGTGACAAGGTTTCCAATTATGACCAATTAGATCCCACAGATTAGGCCTCCTCCGAATACCATCTGCTAGCCAATGTCGACTATTGACCCCTCGGGGGAGGGCCTTCTCTGTGGCTGCTCCTGCTGGCACTTTAGCGTGCCCCTCAGCTGCCATTCAGCGAAACATCTTTCGCTGAATTGCGGGCGAGTTCTAAACTG